ATTTATTTTATAAAATATAATATATCAGAAGTGACAATACAGCCTATATTTATAAATTAAAATACAATTAAATCTGTTTAAAGAAATACTGTATAAATAAATATTTTGTATAAATGAATACAAAATTTTAAACTAAGTTGATTACTAAGGTTAATTGCATAAATTATTTAACTAAATGCATAAAAATTTTTAATTTTATTTAAAAAATTAATTTTTGCTTAATAAAAATTTAATATTAATTATTGTAAATTACTAGTAATAATTATTAATAGTGAAGAGGATGGCAATCCTAGTGTAGTGATTGGATTGTTATCCTCCAAGTGGCAGGTCTAAGGTTCAAATCCCACCTATGCCAAAATTTGGAAATTAACTTGTGTTATGGCTAAACTGTTTTCTGTTGATCTGTTGGATTTAGGTATTTGTAATCTTGGGTACAACCAATCAGGTTCTACTCATCATTGGGAGCCTGGGGTATCTATGCAAAGTGTAATGTTACACATACATAGAGGAATGTTAAAACTGGGATTGCATAAGATTTCAGTGCAAACCCATGATAAGACCACTGAATGTAAAAGACCAAGAAACCGAGAAGACAGAATCCCACTTAGAAATCCTGAGAAAAAGGTAGCACAAACCTTCGATGGTGCTGTCGGACCAATGGAAGCCTAGGAAACCCCAATAAGGAATAGGCAGACATGCAACTGGATGGAAAGATGTGTAATGGAGCACATAACCAATCAGGCTGTCAGAATCACCGAAAGAAAAAGATACCAAAGGCATTGTTGTACACAGACATTGTCCCATCAAAATTGAGTGAACATGGACAGTCCCGGACAGTGTCCCATGTCCCGAACAATGTCCCATGTCCATGATGGTTGTTCCATGTCATATGGTTTATCGAACAACCTGATTGGCTAACATGGTTATTTTTATTATAATATTAATTGTCCAGAACAAAAAAATATTGGTGGACATGTTAGGAACGTCCCATCCTGGACTGTCTGCTGTTCACATCTGTGTCTCATAACAACACTGCCAAAAAGTATACCATACTGAGCTATCTGGATTGGGAGTCTGGAGAGTCTGTCAAATTCAGAGTTGGATAGTATAAGGATGAAGAGAAGAAGTCAGAAAGATAGATACCAAGGTTTGGATGAACTTTCAAGGATAAAAATAGTATAATGTAACAGTTTAAGGTTAGTCCTGACTGCAAGTGTTAGGTAACTATAGTGTGTTACATGAAATTCAGGTTAGCTGTATGCAGAACACAGAGGCTCTGGTAGGTTTACCTCGAGGATAAAATAGTCCTAAGGTTGAAACAAGGATCTGGGCTTGATCTAGTGAAGTTGGTACAAGGGTTTCAGATCAGAGAGTTTAAATGGAACACTTAAGCAGAGGTGTTAGATACGGCAACTGGTGGGAAACCTTTGAGCGGACTTCTTAAATAGGTAATATAGAAAAAATTACATGTGTAGCCAGTTGTATACTCATTATAATACCTGACAGAAGTATTAATAAAGTCAAAAGACCAAAGAGGTCACCTTAATACCAAAAAAAAAAAAAAAATTATCAATAGTGAAATGAAGTAATTTTCTAATTAATATTTATATTTATTATTTAAAAAAATTACTTTTAAAAAATTTTTAATTTTAAAATATAAAAACTTAATATGTTAATAAATATTAACAAATAAAAAATCTAATTGTAACATGTTATATACTTATTTGTAATAAATTAACTTATTACAATTAATGAAAATATCTAAAAATTTATATAACTCAAACTCTAACTCTAAATATGTTGTTACAAATACAATATATTTATTTATAGAATTTTTTATAAAGATATTCTACACCAACCCCGTAATAGTAATAAATGACAGTTTTAAAACTTTCATAGAATTACCTGCTTTAGGTAACTTTAAATAATGTACATATTCTTAATGCATATCTATTTCAACCTTAATTTCTAAATAATAGCAATAATCAACATAGTTATCCTAACACCATATATACTAAATATATTGAACTTATGAAGAAATATAATTTGTAAATGTTATATAACCGATATGTCTTATAAGGGCATAATTTTAAGATATCATAAAAAAAGCATAATTTTTAAATCATACAGAAAAGCATAATTTTAACTTATTATATCTTATAAAGCTTAAATAAAAATTTTTAACAACCTAGAACCTATTCACTATATGCACTACACCATTAATAATACGTCTTATAAGAAATCAATGCATAATTTGATACGTCGTTGAGTTTAGTAAAAAGTGAATGGTAAATGCTCATAAGACATCTCATTCATCTCATTTGAATTATTGAAATTGATAAAATTATCTAAAATGCATGTGTTCTGTGTATCAAATATTCCAGATGAATTTGTTTCCGGAATTTCGTTAGAGAAACCTAAAGTGTTAACAAACAAAGTATCATTGATATCATCGTCCATAAAATGACAAATTATTTGTTGATCTATTTGAATCGGTATATCAAAATATTGAGCAGAAAGGGATTCCGAATTAAATTCGGATTCTTTATTTATACCAGATGAACTATTATTACTTGGAGTCATGAATATATTAGGATTTGGATAAACATTTTGATTATCAAATAAATCAGTCCTATCAACAAAAAAGTCGGGGTTTAATTTCGGAGAATTGATATCATTTAAATCATTAGGCATTTCAGGAGACGATAAATCGGTATTAAGAGCAATTTCGAAATTTGATGGTTTTACAGACTTATCATTATTAACCGATTTTAAAGATTTTGGAATTTTAGTTTTATGGATAAATTTGTCAAATGGAACATTTCTCCATTGATCTCTTTTTTTTTTAGGTTTGGTTTTAGGGAATATTTCATTATAATAATCAAAGGCTTCTCTTGCGATTTTTCTATATACTTTTTTAACATTATCCGATTCATGTTCCCATGATTTAGATGCCATTGAAGAGATAATACTCATTGGTAATTTATAACCAGCAGCACGAGCAGTTTCAAAAAATAATTTACGATAGATCATAAAGTTGTTAGGAGGCCTAGAGATATGACCGTCAGAACGTGGAACAACCAGGTCATGAGGATTAATTGTTGGTGGGAAAGGAAGTGTAATTAACTGTGAATTCTCTATCACTTTTTGAGTCATGGGGTTGTTAATAGAATTAATAAAGACGCAAGCACGAGGGGCTGGCTGATTAGTAACCAATAAATTTAATTGACTTTGTCCATTCATTTTTTTTGACTTTTCTGATTACAGGCTTTTACACTTTATATTTTTCTTTTCTTTCTTTCTCTCTTTTTTTTTTACTTTCTAGAACATTGAACTGAGGATTAAAAAGTAATCCACCGTTATATATATATATATTTTTCAATATAAGGCGAATAGTTTTTAAACTGGTTATTAATCAGTGGTCAATAACGATGATAAATCAGATCAATTCCCGGGTTTAACGCATCTCTAAATATGAATATCGGGCATGTATATAGTAATTGGGGATTTTTACTAAATGTAAATCACAAGTATTCTTAAAATTGCCTAAATCATATCATCGTAATGCGGACTCCGTTATTATACTGTGGGGATTGTAATAGTGTTCAGAACTGATTCTTATCCAATGTTGATCCTCGAATTGAAAATCGATATGTAGTTCTTATTAAATAAAAATAAGTGAGTTGGAAAAATTCTTAAAGTTTTAGGTTGTTTGGGCATCAACGATGAATGTGTCAAAGTTGAGACTTAACATTAACATGATAGTTAAGTAAGATCGATTAGTTGATCCCCACGAATTACTCTGATCTTTTGACTTTCTATTTTAGTAATTTGCAACAAAATTTTATAAATTACTATAAACATCATAAACGCCATGATTGTTCTAAACATATTTACTGCAGACTTACGTACTAGTAATGCATATTGATATATCCACCGTAAACGCACTACATAAGTTGCACAGCCGCGTTGTCTTGCATATTTATAAACATGTGGCACAAGGCTAAATTTATTTTTAAACGTCTTGATGGTTAAAAGAACGACCATGATTAAGTTATTACAATTGTCTTAAATGCAGTTCACTGTTAATGTTAGTGTGTTGTATATGTTTAATTCTGTAATAATTCATGATTCTTTTGGTATCAATTAGTTATATGAATCCTATATATAAATTTAAATTTTATAAACCTTTATAAACCAGATTAATGTGTTTGAAGCTGAAAGTTATGATCGATTGATCGACCTGGTTCAGATTCGTACATAAGCTTTAATTTTTATTGAGCCACATTTACACCAGGTCGAGAATTTTATTAGTCATTAGACGTGTGCGAATAGGTGGGAATAGGTGGGCATTGCATGGTCGTGCGGGATAAATGCGGGATAAATTATTCGATTAAAGTTAAATTCTTACCACATGACTAACATAATCTCGCGAGAGATATGTGAAATATTACGCGAAGCACATCTAAATCTTCGTACAAATGGCAATGGATTAATTCTCTGGAGAAACATAACGCACCTGAGTATTTGTGCGTACGCAAATTACACAGATATTGATTTGTTGTTTATAATATAGATTATTTTTTCGATTTTGATTGGACCAATCCTTCGGACTTTCAAATAGTTTTATTTTTCCGTATAGTTTTACGAGATTTTAATACAGCCAAATTAAAACCTGGAATTGAACTTAGAAATTCATTATTATAATTAAATTTTAAGTTAGTTACTATACCAATAAAGATATATTACCGTTGATCCCTGCATATAGTACTCGGGGTCTTATTCAAGAACTTCATTTTTTAATTTGAATAAGAAACTGGATGCTATATTTGGGGATGTATCATTTGAGCGTGCGGTATCTATGTAATCAAAACTATATGTGGTTATATAATAAAATTCATTAATGAAGATTTTTTCGATAGAGATAGAAAGTAATGATTTTATAACAGTCATAATAAAAGCACAACCCTAATGGTTTGATAGTTTTAGGTAAAGACCAATACTATCCCTTTGTTTTTACAAACAAAGCTATAGTGCCATGCCTTTTATTTAAACATAAAAAAAAATTAATAATATGTTATGCTTTTTTGTTTCCCTAAAAAAAAAAAAAAAAAAGATCACAGTTTTTATTTACACAGTATATAAGTACAAATTAATATAGTTATACTCCTTGGTATTATTCAAGAATTAAGTTAGGCGAGCAGTAAATAATACCTGGACCTTAATCAAGGGTAGAGATAGATCAGTTTTCATAAAGACTGGTAAAAAATTAAAAGACCAAATAATTCTCAGTCCTTTGGCCAAAATCGACTGTTTCTGGTTTCGATTATATGAATAGTTTTGTCGTGGCTAAAGCTGGAAATTTTAAATATTTTAATATAAATTTTCAAAATTTTCTGGGGTGCACTTTTTTTTACAATAAAAGGATTTTAGTAGTGTTTATATTTTTAAACCGAGGTCCCTAATTTCCAGCTTCAATGAACAATAGGGTAGTCTACTAATGAACTAGAAAAATACTAACTATTAGGCATCTGAAATTAAAACTTTGATTAGCATTTTTGGTTTGTAATTACAGGGAAAACGGGGAAACAAAAAAAAGAAAATCTGGCGTGCCGAAAAATCCCGAATATGGCCGAAAAATCCCGATCACTGTGCTGACCATTATAGCGATCAATTTTGATATTTAATTTGAGGAGGGAGCTCGAGGGATTGGGAAAGTGGATAACGTTAAACGAAAATTCAACTTAAAATGACCTTATCATTGCAGGACAACTTAAATCCGTCAGTATGGTGGCAAGTTCAGAAAGAATACCCTATTCTAAGTTTGATTATACAAGCTACTAGTATAGTCTCGAAACAAGTCTTATGACAAGAAATAGGTTATAATATGATTTTGCAAGGGTAACTCTATGTTTAAAAGATTAACTTCAAAAAGAAATTTGCCTATAGAAATTGTATTTATTCCTTTCATTTACAAGAAATATAAGGTGTATGTATAAAAAAACTTTTATATTCTTCGGTATAAAGAAAGAACGATAAATTATGAATATATCTGCATGTTTACATGATTTAATTATATATATAAATACGCGTTCTTCGGTTTGAAAATTTTTAATAATTTATATAAATAATAAATAACATTTCTATGTATAAAATATAAATAAATATAGTCAGACCTCGATATAGTCACTCTTGATATAGTCACGAAATATAAAAATAATTCTATTCTCGTTTTATCAACCATTATAAAGCATAAGAAAATTAACTTCTGTATAGGCACTATCACCTTAGTCACATTGCATTTTGGTTACCAACCCGGTGATTATATTGAGGTCTGACTGTACTAGTATGTTAAGCCTGTCATTAAATGATGGGAATATAACACTTATTAAATTTATTCAATAAAAGTAATCGACACTGTTATTCGGTGATGATACAAACTCATTTATTAATCCAATATATATGTGTAACACGAGGATGCAATGTCTATCCAATGTGCATAGCTCCTTAACTTTAATATTTATTTATTTATATGTTTTGTTCTCGAATTCTTTTATATGTTTTGTTCTCGAATTCTTTTATATGGTTTGTTCTCGAATTCTAAAGAGTTACAATTACCTTAACATGTGATAGATAGTTTGATAAAAGAAGTTGCTATTTATTATTATGGTTATTTTTATCAGGGATGAGTATTTCTGGTTCCTAGCCGTGTGAACTTATAATAGATCATGTTACCTATATAATATGTGGACTACAAAGCGTTTATGCCAAGGAGAAAAATAACAAAGGGGTTATAAAAGTGCTTGGCTTGAGTGTACACATATGAGGAGTCAATAGCAAAGGGACAAATCATTTTGTATTTTTTTTAATGTTTAAATTAAAATATCTTAACAACTATCTAATCAAATTTGATAGAATTTTTTATTTATTTTAATTTATATAATTCTAAAATTAAACAAAAAAAATTATTAAATTTGGTTAGATAATTGTTAAGATATTTTAATTTAAAAATTAAAAAAAAATACTAAAATGATTTGTCCCTTTTCTATTAATTCTTAACATATATTGTATACTATACATAGCATATGTTATTTCAACAGCTCTAAATGGAGCTCCATTGATCCTTAAAATTAGATATACTTGGATAAGCACGAGATGAAAATGAAGACACGCGTAAAGATTCATAATAAAGGTTCATTTAGTATTAATGACGAGTTTTGTACTACTTAATACATACGTATGATAAAGATTTTAAAGATACAAAATTTCAATGCATTTATTGTATAAATGGTTATATAAATGTACACATTTCCATTAAGAGAATTTCATTTATAAATTACACAATTTGTTAATAAAAGCCTGTGGAAGTTTTTCAGGTTTAAATTTCAAAAATTTTGACAAACATAAAATACACATCATATTTAAAGCGAAAGAAATTATGGTTTCCAAATTACAAAATTCTTTTTTTGATGGTGATAATGAATCCGAATACAGCAACTTTGAAGAGTATCCCATTGCTTCGACTTCAATCATTCCAGTACCTTTTATTCCTAATGGTATTTCCTATTGTCAATTTTCATAGCATTATTGTCTGTTACTTGTTACATAATTAACTTTGAACATATTTCTATTAAAATAATCAAAATTAGGCGTTCCTATATTCCCTATAGATTCTACTACGATGAAACTATCTGACCCAAACGCACCCTATATTAATGTCCAGCCAAATTATTATCTCCCGTATTTAATGAATTATTATCAAAATGAAATATACCCACACACTGACGAAATATCATTCGAAAGTTTAAATATGACTGAACAGTTTTCAATGCCAACATTAGAAAGTAGCAATGGTATATCATTAAAATCACAAACGCCTAAACAAAGTCCACAAATTCAACAGCCAATTCCTGTATCACAATCTTCAACTACAAACTTTCATAATTCAAAAGATTCAAATATTAAACCGAGAAAGTACAAATGTGATCTCTGTCAAAAGTTATTTGTTCGGCCAAGTCAACTAAAAACTCATATGCATACTCACACTGGTATGAAACCATTTAGGTGCACTTTTGAAGGATGTGGTCGTTGTTTCTCGGTTGTTAGTAATCTTCATCGTCATCAAAAAATTCATATGAAGTCATCTCTTCCAAAAACATAGTATTATACTGTACGTGTAAAGCACGATACATTATGATACACTGATAATTCATTATTTATTATCAAACAATTTTTATGAAAAGAATTTAAGCATCCTTAATATTTTTATAAGCATTTATTTTTATAAATATACTCCATATTATTTTTACATCATTATGAATAAAACATTTAGTATTTTATTATCGTGACTATAACATTCGTGCTCACATTAATTCGATTAAACCGTTACCATGCACTCGACCAAAATACATATCAAAGAAAAATATACGCGCTATTACATTTTCATTTAGGTGCTAAAAAGTAAGTTTTTACCATTAGTATGAAGTTATTAACCTTATGTGCTACGCATGAACTTTGACTGCATACCAACAAAAAATACAATATTACTCCGTTTATAACTTTATAAAGTCGTCTTATACTCTTTGATAAAGCCAGGACGCGTATATATTTAACACTTCATTCAATTTTAAATCCATTTCTGCCAAGCCCTGTAAATAGATGCATCATTTATAAAATCAGTATAGATAGATAACTAAGTTTTACCGCAACTTTACACATATATAATTCGGGTAAATTATATTAGTGGCGTAATCTACAATCTTATTCGGAAACAAGCTGGTGCCCCGATTGGAAATTTCCCTGTTCCATCAAATTATTCTATTGAGAAGTTTTAAGAGTAAAGTTTATTAAATTTAATGAACATCATTGCGTATAATAATAATCGCAAATTAATTACAATAAAGAAATTGTTTAAATGCTCCATTTGCCAATGCTGATTATTGATTCTCTATCATTATCTCTATTACTTAATTTGGCATTGTTATTTACCATCTGCATTACTAAATAAGGTTATTTGTGTTACTTATCGAAAGGTTTACTAGATTGAAATCTTAACCAGGGCAACATCAAAACTTACGAGATATATGAGTAACTCCACAGTTGCAGTTGTAGCGAATAGACGGTTGATGCGATTATGTGATATTAAAAGGTTATTGAAGAGAATCCTCAGGCCATTTGAATTTTATGTTACGTAGTTAAATTATCTTTCACTATGGCAATTATTATTCTGTTAGAAAATTGTTTTTTGTTTAGTTTAGTTCAAGGAAAACCTGAATAAATCTTTATTTATTTATTCTTTTCAAGTTAAAATTTTGGGCTCATTAATAATAAAATTATTATCCTATTGTATTGTGGATCAAAGAATTATAATCTAATTTTATGATAAAAAAGTTCATAGAATACATGCAATGTAAATAGTCAACTCTTTTTATCGAGCCTTTTCATAACGAACCTACTCTATAATAACTTACCAAATTTATTATGAAGTTTAGTATAGGAACATAGCAAATTCCTTCCATAAAGCACTTATTTTTACTATAAGAACTATCAATTAATTATAGAAAGTTATATGTTGTCAAGAGCAAACCTGGATCCAGAACTGTCTTAAAACCTGGCACAGTCAAGTCTGCAACCCGTATAGGAACCAACGTTCAAGAAGTCCATGAAAATTGACGATCGTTGCACGATGCCTGCCTAAGACTATGGTTGTTAATGGAGTGGCATACTCCGGAATGAGCCCAACCCAAGTTGGAGTGGGTTAAAGATATGCCTAAAGATCGGGAGTGAAATTGGAGTGAACTGGAGCAACTCTAAGCAAGCCTGGAGTGGGTTGAAGAGTTGTTTAACCCAACCCAACCCATTAACAACCCTACCTATGACCCAGGCGAACGACTTGAAACAGTACTATGGTAGAGCCAAAAATGGGAACCTGATGAAACCAGGATCGAGTTATAAGAGGCCTTGGGTGGGAAAATGCTGCAATAACGAAAGGTTATGGTGAAACCTTTGATTCTGGTGGGAAAATGTTTTATTTTTTCCCTGTGTGTCTTCTTTTCCCGGTGCCTTGGTTTTGTGTCTTGTAAATGAAACTTGAGTGTGAAAAGCTCTTTCATAGTAGTGCCAAAAACTCCTCGAATAAACTTTTAATACAACGTTGAATACTCTACCGTCGCCGCCTTATTGTTATTGAGTATCGCACAACTTGTGCTTTACCAGATCGTTCCGTCTCGACTTCTTGACTTTCGCAACGAAATCCGTCACCTATTTTCTTTTTTTTTTTGATGCGCTCTTGTCCCCGTAGACACGCAACACTGTATAAGGCTTTTTCTTTCGTTTTTATTAGTTTATTATTCGTATTTTGACATCAAGAAATGCTAGAAAATATGGTTACAACTCACTCACGTTATAGTGAAGTTCTCATGCTAGGAAAAATTCTTCATTATAACTTATATTGAGATTATACTGAAATATATTATACTACGTCTGGTTGAAATTTAATTCACAACACTTTCATTATATCGAGAGTTTACTATAACAAAAATGAGTTGTATTTTTTATAGTTTCGTTCGAATTATTTATTTGTGTTAATTTAGTTTGTGAATGCAGATTCGTTGATAAATCCATTTACGGTCGAATCTTACTATAACTCCTTTGAAATGCTTCCTAGAAATAATGAGCGTAAAATTTCAAAGTTTGTTTTGGAACTCTACAATCTTTATTAGTATTATGAATCCAGATTCATTTGTAAATCCAATTATATCCAAAGGTTACTATAACATCCTTTTTCATAATGAGTCCTGAACATAATGAACGTGAAATTTCAATTTAACATTGGTTGAATTTGGAAAGTGTATGTTTTGTATATTTGATAATTCGATGTCATTTGTACAATATAATTCAAGTTATCAATTCATTTTGCGATTATTTGGTAATCAATTTTATATTTTAAATATGTTAACTATTTATTCTGGACCGTTTTGTTTCTTGCAAATAATTAAAAAAGCTTTTCCTTCTATAAAAGTTTAATACAGTAACTTTGGACATAACAAACCTTTTTACAAATTATTCTATAATGAATTTTTAAAAGTATCGCCAATTCGTTATAAAGAGGGCTATATTCGACAACAATAATAATAAAGACAATGTTAGTTGAAAACTACCAATAAAATTCGCCCATAGCTCACCACAAAAAAATTTCGGATCGTGATTTTCAGCCAATTAAATTGGAGGATCGGGTGTAACGCCTTTTAAAAAAAATCTATAAAACAGCCTTAAGCGTTCTACCGAAGAAAATTCCTTGCAAAATTTTGGTATTGGCTATGGCCACAAATCCAAAAGTAACGTTTCAGAAAATTTTTTGTGGGTGAGATACCAAAATAACTCTCGATTTTGATTGGCCAACTGCGACGATCAAAAATTTAGGCCAAAATTACCCATTAAGTGAAAATGCTCCTAGGCTAATTTTACCATTGGATAGGCCCAAACCTTAAAAATTTCTATTTTCGGAATTAAAAAATTGAAAATTAATTCTGGCCAAAATTGTATTTATTGCGGGCCAAAATTTTGTCAATCATAGCCGTTGGCCAATCAAAATCGAGGATCATCCGCACATTTTTTGTGCGCCACCTAGGTTCAGAAATAGGTAAAAATCCCGGTTTGATTTGTAAAAAATTCCTTTTTATAGCGATATAAAATTTTACTTCTATTTTATCTATACAGTCTATTCTTCGCAAGTGCTCCCATTCTCTTCTTAAGTAAGTGCCATTTGATTCCAATTTAACTTCGTAATGAAATATATTCATGCGTTTATTGTTAGACCTTTATAAGTGTATATTTCTAGATGGATATATATATGAATTTTTTCGTGTCTCTGTCTACATTTACTTCAAATCTTCATCAAATTCTGATTTCCTAAGTATTACGTGCTAATTATTCATAATACTCTAATAAATCACCCTTTTACTATTCCACGTAAATATAATCGAATAAGACAAATTATATAAACAGTCAAAGATGCAATACGTAAAGAAAAAAATACATATCTCTTTAAATCGTAAAGCTCTTTTGAAACCTTTCAAACCAAACATGTAACATATAATTATATTCAAACTGTTCAAAGCCTAAACGGAATTATCAGATAAAATATAAAAATTAAAAAAGAAACGTATACAATCTACTTTCGTTATAACGTAATGATCGGCTGAGAAATTCTGTCCGTTATAATAAAAATTCGCCATAGCGTTATCTGCTATAACGAAGGTTGTTACAACGAGGATAGACTATCCCTTAAACCGTTTGGAATTCGGTACAAATTTGTATTGAATTTTACTATAAAAATATTTCTGACCTATTTCTTTAAAAAATTAATATATTTAAATAAAATTTTTTTTAATTATATTTGAAACTAAGGAATATTTTTTTAAAATTTATATTTAAATTATAAGACAAAAATTTAACTTGCTTATATGCCAAAAATATACGAAATTTAAAAAAGTTTAAACTAAAAATTAATTTGTAATGTTTTTAACAAAATCTTTAAATATTAATTTTAAATCTATAATTATTTAATAGAAATTATAGTTTAAATAAAGGATTACAACTTTTATTATTGTAACTTTTATAATTTATTTATAAAAATTAAGATATGTATTAACAATAAATAATTTTTTTATAGACAAAATATATAAAATTTTAAAAATTTAAGAAAAAAAATTAATAATAAAAAATTTAAAATAATAACTTTAAACTCTTATTACTCTTAAGTTTTTTAATAAATTTGAAAATTTTTTTTAGCAAAATTATTAAAATATATTTTAAAATATATTTTTTACTTAAACATATATAGTTAAAATTAATATTTAAAATTTTATTTTAAAAATAAAATTTTTAAAAAATTTCAGTACAAATTTGTATAAGAAACAGTTTAAAAGATAATACAAAAACACAATGCACATATTTAATATAACAATTAATAATTAAAAGAATCTTAATTAATATATCTTTAATTTAAAAATTTTCTAGTACATAAAAACAAAATATTAATAGTATTCAGTTTATTTTGTTAAATGGAATAAAATCACTATCAAAAAAGTTTTAATCATTATACATATAACAAATATATTAAACACTAAAAATTCATATAACTTAATAAAAAAATATACA